TGCACTGTAGCAACAAGGCACATGGGAGTTAGTACCGCCACCATTAAATCAGCATATATTGGGATGTAAATGGACATTCAAAAAAAAATATCACACAGATTGCACTCTAGCTCGCCATAAAGCCAGGTTTGTAGCACAAGGATGCTCTCAACAGCAATATATTGATTACCCTAAGACCTTTAGTCCGAGGGAAAAGTTTCCTGCCATTCGACTTCTCATTGCGTTTGTTGTTCATCACCAATAGCCTATTCAACAATTAGATGTCTCTAACGCTTTCTTATACAGAAAGGTTGATGATATCATCAACATGAAGGAACCTCCAAGTTTTGTTGACACCCATTATCCACATTTTGTTTACAAATTAAACAAAGTCACATATGGTCTCAAGCATGCACCACGTCAATGGTACTCCACTTTCTGTATTTTTTTATTTAATCACAATTTTATCTTAAGTACTGTTGACCCATCTCTTCTACTTTATAAAAAGGATCATACATGCATCTATTCACTGATATATGTTGACGATGTACTAATAACTAGCAATTGCAACAACACAATAACTACACTAATTAAAAATTTGCATGATCAATCTAATCTAAAGCAACTAGGGTTCATATCTCACTTTCTCGATCTACAGTTTAGACCCATTCACAAATGGTATTTCGTTTCACAACCACAATACATACAGGAACTCTTACACAAAACAAACATGCAAAATGCAAAAACTGTGCTCACCCTCTCTCAACCACTTCATATTAAACCAATGATTCTGCCACTTTAATGCAAGTCCAATCTTTATAGAAAGATCATTGGTACACTCCAATATTAAACATCACTAGACCTAATATCACATTCACCATCAACTATCCTAGCCAACACATGCATAATTCCACCACAACACATTTTCAACAAATCAAAAGACTTCTTAGATATCTATAAGGAACCATTAACTATGGTCTCCCTATTATTTCAGTTGACGTTGCTTTAAGTGCTTACGCCGATGCAAATTGGGCCACTGATCAACAAGACAGAGAATTAACAACAGGATTCTATATTTATTGGACCCAATTTACTATCCTAGTCTGCAAAAAAAAAAAAACCAAAATACAGTTGATAGATCATAAAACAAAATACAGTTGATAGATCATCAACGGAAGCAAAATATAGGGCACTTGCGACTACCACTACTAAGATACTTTGGCTGCATCAATTACTCGAGAAACTCACCGATCAACAGCTGCCACCAACACCCTTCTACAGTGATAGTACATACAATCCAGTTTTTCAGGCCCGAACTAAGCATATCGAAGTGGATTACCACTTCATTGGGATCATCTCAAGAATAAGCATATTACTCTTCATCATATCATGACTAAGGATCAATATCTCGACATATTTGCAAAACCATTACTTGTCTCAAATTATACGCATCTTACAAGCAAGTTGACGATCTCCACAGGCGATCCTCATCTTGAAGGGGGCTAATAGAAGAATCCTCTTCACGCATCTTCGGCTAGCTTCATGCTTTCATCCATTCTCTCTGGTTTGTTGAACCTCGCTTTCTCCAAAGCCTCTATTGGTGATCTCATCTAAGCCTCACTCAGTTGGGGATTAGGTTTCAGCTGTTCAAGAAACTTCCTATTAGCTTGCAATATAATGCAATGAGATTTTTGCCCTCTCGTAATATTAGAAGTACACCACTCCTCTGCTTATATAAGCAGCTCTATATTATGTTTATGATAATTAAGATGAATAAAATATTTTAGTTAGCACTTATCTTTTTCCGACTTCTTCTCTCCACATTCGTTCTCTTTTCTATCTTTTGTTCATTCAAGTATATTATGAGCCCTCTATATTATCCTTAATTTAAATTTTTAATTAATAATAGGATGAGTGACCTCTTAGCATATAAGATTACAATATGCCTAGATTATGTGCATTAGTACTAGTATAGTCACAACCACAGGAATACATGCATATAGTAATCTTCTGTAAAATCTCTTTGACCAATCCCCCATATGTATCTTGATTTTAGTATTGATGGTCCTCAAAATGTTTGAATTTTATGATGCAACGCCTGCTGAATGTTCCTAAGAGGCATCAATGCATCCTTCATCTCCCTAATGAACATTTTAGACCCATGCATGGGTCCTTCAAAGAGACCCACATATCATATCTGAAAGGCATATAGCATAAATTTTGCCACCCAAGACGCCCACAGGCTGCTTCGTGAAGACTCTTTGCAGAAGAATAAAACTTGAGAAGAAAAATAAAGATTAAAAAGGAATGCAACATAGAACTTCCCAAGAGGTCACTCATCTTAGTACCATCGTGAATACGTCTAAAATACAAAATTTTGATAGGATCCAACGCACTGGTACTAGTATCTTCACACTTGAAAGAAAACAATATGTAATTTTTTGTAGATTCCCCCATGAGCACCTTGATAGTAAAAGATGGTAGGCCCTCAAAATGACTAAATTTTGTGATTTAAAGCCTGTCAAATGCTAAGATGCATCGGCACTATATCCTTCTTGCAACGAGCTTTCCAAAAAGGCATCATCATAGAAAATTAGATTTACGTTAGCAAAGTTATGGCGATTCTCATGGAGCTCTAAGAAGAGGCCAATAAATAACATTATAAGTTTTGTAGCACAAAATGCCCTGAGATGACTTCCAAAGTGCAAGTTTGCATGAATATTTTCGCAAGAAAGAAAAAATAAAACAATGTGAGACAAAAAAAACAAAGGTGCAAGGTGAGGACTTCCCAGAAAGTCACTCATCTTGGTACTAGTCTTTCCCAATCACACTTAACTATGAGGTTCTAATGGAATCCAGCGCAGAAATATTGGTATGGTCATACTCACAAGCATATGAGCTTATAATTCTTATATATAATCTCTTTATGTTGAACCCAACACTCATCTTGATCTCAATTGGAAGCAAGGGACTTCAACATGGGTGAATTTTATGACGTCAGGCTTGTCAAATACACTTAGGTACAGTGGCATGTACTCCAATGAACTTTCAGAAAAGTATCATACGAGAAAATTTCATAGACATTCATGAAGATCTGAAGATTTCTATGCCACTCTATGAATAGGTCATAGATTGCATTCAAGGAGCCCATGTTGTAAATATTGCAGCTCAAGCCGTCCTGAAGTTAGTTAACAAGTGCATGTTTGCATGTAAAGTCTTTACAGACAAAATTAAAAAAAAATAATGTGACAAAATAAATGGTGCAACACATGGATTTCCTATAAGGTCAACCATTCTATTACTACTCTAGCTCAAGCACGCTTAAGCGTAGAGTTTTGATGGATCTAATTCACTTGTGGTGGAATGGTGGCATTCAAAGAATTTAAGCGTATGGCAATCATAAATAAATTCTGTGTGTGCTATAACATGAGCATTTTGGTTCTAGCAAGTGGCTTGTTCTCAAAATGATTGAATTTTGCAATGAAATACTTGTCGAATGTGCCTGCGACCACATCGACGCGTCCACTATCTCGTGAAGAACTTTTTAAAAATTAGTCATGATAGAAACTTAGAGTTATTGAGCTAAACCATAAAATGACCCTAGTTATCTCCATAGTTTATAAAATTAAGTGATTATAAATAGAAAAACATTGAAGAAAAAAATTTCCGCACAAGAGTGACAAGAATCAGTATCTACCCCAAGTCCATTGTGAAAGAGAGTCAAGGTAGCCGTCAGTTGCATTAGAATGGTATGAATTACTTTGTAGACAAAACATTAGCAAGCTTTTAGGTGGTTGATATGGTTGAAATCACTAAGAAGGTGGTATAACATGAGAATTGTTATATAGAACTCCCTATGGACTTCTCCAGTTAATCAGACTAAATGCCTTAGCAATCTCACACTAAATCTCCATTTTACTCTCATACCAACCTTGTTTACCCATGGTTAAGAAACTAGAGGTATTGGCTTGCGTCAACAAGTTATGAGGGGATGGTTGAGATCTATGTGATTAGCTCTAGGCAACATATGGATACAACTCAACATAGATTATAGGAATCCCAATGGTTTATACTTCTAAACCTAATAAGCTTAAGTTGGGTTAATTAGACTATGCTAGCTCTTTAGAGCTGATCTAAGTTAATTTGAGTACTAATGAACTAAATTGAGCCATTCAACCAATTTGAAGTCAAAATAAGTGTGAGTCGATCAAATCCAAAAGGCAATTAGGCTAGATTAGATCCAATGAACTAATTGGCTAATCCAAGGTTTGGTTGAGCTTAATTGAACAATAATTAACTAATTTGTATCTAATAAAATGCTTGATTAAGATAAATTTAACTAATTTTAACAGATGGTTTATAATGAGTTTCATTTGGTTATCCTTGTTTCAAAAGTAAATAAGTTCAATCTAATGATTATTTAAGCTTATTTAGGATGAAGTTGACCAGAAAGAGTCTATTTAAAGGGCTAGATTAGGCCAATTTTGTCAGTTAAGGCAAATTTAAGGGATCACCTTAGGTTCAACTTGGCTAATTTGGTTTAGTTGGATTTAATTGGCTAAGTCAAGGAGAATTGGGTTTGTTAAACACTTTTAAGTTTAATGAAAAGCTTGGTTAATTTAAATTAAAATAGTTTGATAAAATTATCCTATTACACGACCAATGGTTAATTAAGCTAGGTCCTATAGCTAGCTTATTGTATTTCATTAGGGAAGCTGTGATAAGTCAATTTAGCCAATTTCAGGGTTTAACGAAGTCAAACATGTTAAATTTATTTAGATTAAAATGAGGATCAATTAAAGTGTGTGTGTTTGTGTGTGTGTGTGTGTGTGTGTGTGTGTGTGTGTAAAAACTGAAGTTTAGGTGTAGACATGTAAATACAGAACAATTGTGGTATTACAAAAATTTTGATTTTTATATTTATATCATCCAAACTGTCATATCGGAAAAAAAATACCACTATTTTAACTTCTAAAATACGAAATAAACCTGTTAATCCATAGGTGAGGTGGCATATATGTAAAAATTGAAGTTTAGGTGTTAGACATATAAATACATAAGAATTGAGTCATATGTATGTAAATCTTCCAAAAACTACTAATGCTAACAAATTCATTTAGATTGTCTAAAGAGACTGCCATGTGGTTTCTGCATAAAGGATACTAACCATTTATAATCATCCAAAGCCTTCTCTGAAAGTGGCTCAAGAAACTCGCATTTTTCTAAAATTTCAGGAGGGGGAACCCCATCCACAAGATTAGTGTCCAGTTTTGGCTTCCCTTTAACAGGCTCTATTCGTTCCATCGGAAGGTGTTCGAGCGCAAAAGGAGAAGCTCCGGAGATTACTTCTTGCCGGAACGGCAATGCCCGTGCTGTTTGTAAACAGAATTCGATCCATTGGTGAATGAGAGGGGATGGACCTCTTACCCTCCCACCAATCCGATCAGTCCTGAACTTGGTTGCAGCAGGTGTTGCCTGAAGAATAGAGAAAACTAACATAGAAATGCCTGAAACAAATTGGGGCATTTACATACATACCCACATAATTCCTATGTATTTACATATCTAACACATAAAAATTCATATTGACATGCATAGCACTAAAATTTTTAGCATCACATCAAAAATACCACCATCACTAGCTTTTAAAAACTGATATACACATTCTCATACATAGGTTTATGACACCAAGATGTTAAAAATATAAATATCAAATTTTGGTTGTTAAATATGTAAGTAGATAGAAATTGTGTGGTATGTATGTAAATTTTGCAAACAATTTTTGTACAGATATATTTTGTACAACAAAATTCTCGAAATTTTCCTCTGACTCCTTGCAAAGGGTTATTTTTGTCTCAGAGTTAATAAAATTGTCAATTTACTCCACTGATTCTTTTAAAGGGGCTAAAATAGTCCTCATTGGAGACCATTTTAGTCTATATTAAAAAAGGAAAAGAACTAATTTGACACTTTTATATACTCTAAAACTAAAATAGCCACATATCTAACACCTAAACTTCAATTTTTAGATTAAGAAGCCGCTGCTTTAGTCTCAGAGTCAATAAAAGTGTCAATCTAGGCCACTGACTCTTTTAAAGAAGATAAAATAGTCCTCTCTAAAAATCATTTCAGTCTATATTAAAAGAGTAAGGGGACTAATTTAACAATTTTATGAACTATGGGACTAAAATAGCTGTATATAAATATTCAGAGACTATTTAAGCACCTTATTTTGTAAATTACATGAAGGCGGGTAAGAGTTTCATAAATGGCGATCTTATCATACTTTTATGCGAGATTGAAAAATTGTTGAAGAGTGGTGTTTTGACTAAGAAAGTAATAAAATTAAGGGGTATTTACATTCATAACACACGATTCTTATGTATTTGCATACCAAACACCTAAATTTCCATATTTACAAACATATGATCAAAATTTTTAACATCGTATTAAAAAAACCATCATTGCTTATTTTTTAAAAGTGAAATACAGATTTTCATGTATAAATGTAAATATGAAAATTTTGATATGAGATATATAAATACATGAAAATTGTGTGGTATGTACATATCTTTCTAAAATTAACCGCAAGATTGTGATATTAGATGCTTGTCTGATTATTAAAGAGAGTTAAGAAGATACCCAAAGGTCAGCACAAATACTACTGCCAGATTTGGGAATAACTACGGCCACATTAGCCATTCTCTTTGCGGCAGGAATGACGTCGCTGCTCCACCCTACAGCAACCCACACATCTCCTACGCCGAATGACTTCATATAATTCACACTATCAAAATAGCGCACCTGAAAAAATTACGGAAGACTTACAAACATACCACTAGAATTCAATTTTTACATATATGCAACTTTATCTATAAATGAAAAGACGTAATTCACCTTTTAAAAGTTCAAATAGAGGTATTTTTGATATGATATGAATGATTTGGGTGGTATCAATGAAAGGAATTAAAGTATAGGTGTTAGATATGTAAATACATAGGATTTGGGTGGTATGTATCTAAATGCCCCAAAATAAAATATAGGAAATATTAAAAATAAGAATTTTCATACTTAGAAAAATAAAAGCGTTCATCATTCTCAAGTATTATTATAAATGTAGCTCATAAACTTGATTGAATTAAAACATAGTGAAGAAATATCTATCTACTAATACTGAAATGATAAAATTACAATGAAAAAGCACTATGGGGAGCAGGCTTAAAATGAAACATTTATGATGACAAATTAAACATAAAGTTATTAAATTATGAATATGTTTCACAATCAAAATAAAGAAAAAGTGTTGCACTTCATAAATAAGAAAAAAAAAACAGATAGTTGGTAATGTATAAAGAAGATTCAAAATGAGTAGATAGAGCGCGGTCAAGAAAATGAAAAATTAGATATTGAAGTGGAAATAACATGAAGGGCTTTAGTCTCAAATTTTTTTTTGCTTTTAATAGTTTCTTTCCCTTCCATTTTGTTCATTTTATATAGCATAAAAAATTAGATTGGGCTATCAGAACATATGAAAAACTGAAGCTTTCTGTCTTTTGTTCCGTAAAAGTATAACATGAAGCACACACTTCACGTCATGAAGCATACACTACATACAAGAAGCGTTCGTTGTTCACACTTTAAAAGCATTTTGGGACCGCTTCACTTCAAAGTGCACCTTTTTGCACTTTAAAACTTGCTTTTCTCGGGGAAATTTATAAACATACCACACAATTTTTATGCATTTACATATCTCACATCAAACTTCCATATTTACACACATGGTGGCAATCAAATCTTTAACATCGTGTCAGAAATAACACTTCGGTGTTAGTATGTGGTACATAAAAATTGTGTGCTACTAATGTAAATATGACATCAAAAATAGCAGCTTCTTACGAGTGAAACATCCATTTCATGCATACGTTTAAAACACACTACGTAAGTAAATAAGAAATTTTAGGTGTGAGATATGTAAATACATAAGAATTGTGTGCTATGTCGCCTATGCATGTAAATTTTCCCTTTTAGTAAACTAGCACATATCATCAGCACATAAACACATCAACTCTTTATGATTAGAAGAATTAACAACCAGCATGAATGTCAGATCATATCTAGTAAATATATACCTGTTTTTGGAGTGATTTTAAATTATGCAAAACACCCTCTCTCCCACCAATAACATGTAAATCAATATCTTTAGTATTATATGATGCTCCCATGCGCTTCAAAACAGCACCGACGACCTCTCTTGGAGAATCTATCATTGAAATCTTTCCAGTAATTTCGGGCCTCCACAAATCATCCCAATCCTGCACTTATTCGAAGGACCTCATAAAATCATATCGAGTGTAGAAATTCAAACTCAAAAAATAAGGAAAGTATATCGTAAGAATAACTCTCAAAAAACAAGCACGCAAGTATTTTAGACATAACTGTGTATCAAACGTGCATTGATTTCAAATGTTGAACTAAATAGAAGAACATTGGAGCAGGAAAGAAAAATGTCATGCCGATCTGTTTAATATTGCAATCGAGAAAAGTATCAAAATAGTCCCCTATAGTCCCAAAGTATGTAAAAGTGACTTTTTAGATGTGAGCTGAAATAATCCCACAAAAGAATATTTCAGCGCCAATTTAAAAAGTTTGAGAACTAATTAGGGTACCTTTCTAGACTTTGGGATTAGAATGACCCAATGTAAATAGTCAATGGACTAGTTTGGCACTTTACTCTATTGCAATCATACAGATGTTTCATGCATCTTACATATAGAATAAGCAAAGCTACCTCAATTGGGGCCAAGTTATGTTTTTTAAATTTGCTCTTCTTGTAGGCTATTACAATTGCTCCCCAACGATAAGGCGCTCCCCATATGTTGCCCAAAGGATCCAACTCTCCCATCACATTTCTGCACAATTGAACCTGATAAAAACTTTAATAAATTGATAGATATTTAATATTAAAAGCCAAAATCAATGTAATGAGATGTGTGGCCCATTTTAACTTCTTCTTATAGGCAAAATTTTCAATAGGCAGCGCTTAAAAATGATTACATGAGCAACCAACTAAACCCTTACACTATTAAGGATACGTGAGCAAAAAAATTTGACGCCTTTCATAGAAAGATTAGATGCATATTGATTATTGTCTTAGATCGCTAAAATTACTCTTTTAAGTGCTGTTGAAGGAAAATTTTCCCCTTGTTATAACCATTCGCCTTCACTTTTTTCTAAAAATTCTCAAATCTAAAAATTTAACACACTTTGAGAACATGTTCCATAAAATAAAATAGAATACAAAAACTATAAGAGTAAAACCCCTAGACCTTTTCATGCATAAGTTTATGACACCAAAGTGTTATGAGTTTAAATACCAAATATTGGGTGCTATATATATAAATACATAAGAATTGTGTGATAGGGGTGTAAATTTCCCTAAATTTATTCACACACATGAGTATTCAAAAAATAAGGGAAGTATTACACTAAGTAGATCTCACCTTCCACTTGTTGCCTAAAGACTTGAACCAATCTTGTTCTTCTATGTTAGGTATAGGATCAATTAAACCCTTTTGAATGGCAATGCTAAGCCAAGAATCACCCAAAGAAATAAGATCAGCAGACATGGCAGACTTACGATCCACAAAATCTTTATCAAAAGCCAAATTCAGCTCAGAATATATGGATTCAAGACTTCCACGGAGCTCAGTATTCATCTTCAACCTCCTTCCTTGCGCTTGAACAAAATCCTACACAACACAAATAAGTAAAACACAACAGTGACATAAAGACTTCTTCCATTTTTCTTTCAAAAGAATTGCAATGTCGCCCAACCTTAAGCCAAGAGGGAGGCACCGAACCCCGTAGCGCAACTATCCGGAGAGGAACAGTTAAGGCAAAGGTTTTGGACTTCCACTGCTCAAAGGCAGCCCTAAATTCCTCATCCTCCACTTCACCAGCAGAAGAACTTGAGCCCTCAGCCGAAGCTATTTCTGAAAGTTGCAGAATTTACACTAATATAGGTGAATTCTGGAAAAAGTAATAAAACTATGCTCAAATTTCAAATGGGATCCTTGAATGGAGATCCCATGCTTACGATATGCTTAGCAGAGACAGTGGACCTGATGGGATAGAGGCGGTGGTGGTTAGTGATAGGGAAGGTCCTATGGCTGATGCGCGCGCACGAAAACATGCGAATAAAACTGCGGATGTCACGAGGTGGATGAACAGCAGTGAGAGATGGCTTGGTGCTTCCAAGCAGGGAGCAGAAGACGATTTAGAAGGTCTTGGAAGCATTCCGGCGCCACCTGACGAGGCGGAGGCAAAGAGGAAGAAGTGGCGACTCATCTTTGGGGCGTGAATGAATAATGGACATCGAAAAGGTGGGGATCCAGAGCTAAGATGATGGCTTGCGATTGATCTAGGGTTCGAAAAGTGCAGGTCGATGAGACGAGGAGGAGAAGAGAGGCGAAGGTAGAGACTGTCCATTGACTGAGAAGGTTGTTTGCAGCGTGGATAGAGAACAACGCAAAGTAGAGGTTTCAAGGCTCATCCGATTAGCTGAAGCTCTTTGCTTGTAATAAGGTTTGAAGAACGGGATACACTCGTTGCACAACTTTGAGAGTGATAAACTTGTTGCCCAACTTTGAGATAATAAAAGAATAATGTGATTCAATTAACTAATTTTTAGACTTTCTTTATATTTCGGGGGATGACATGTTGATCAATGCTTGAATCTTTTTTATATTGACTTTAATTTCTTCGAGGATTAAAAGATAGCCTAAGAACCTCCATGTTAATGTGTCAAATGTTTATTCAAGTGGATTGGGCCTCATGTTAAACTTTTTTAACATTTCAAAGGTGTTTTGAGGCCTTGATGTATTTATCAAGTGTCGTGTTTTTTACAAGTACATCATTCATATATAACTCGAAATATTTTATTTTATATTTTGTAAACATTACGGGTCAGTTTGGGGTAGTGCAGCTTATTAATAAGCTATTGTGTAGAAGTTGTCATAGGAAGCCGTTGCGGATCAACTGGTTAGCTGTTTGTTTTTTGCGGTTTGAAAATAAATGTGCGGTAGTTGTTTCTGGACAAATGAGCACTCTGCTCATGTGTAGTAATATTGTTTGCAATATAAATGTCATACAAATATATTTGATACTTTAGAAGCAAAAATCAAATTCAAAACAGTACAAAAAGTGAGATATATACCTCATATAACTATGAGTATCATGATTACTAAAATAAAGAAAATTAATTAAAATAATATTTAATAATATTATAATATTATTTTTAAAATGCGAAAGCCGTCCTCCAATGATACTATTCATTCTCAATCACTCTCGACAGTGGAATCTGAGAGTCTGTCTGCCCACCGAAAGAAGTTGCACTTCTCCTTGATTCTCTAGGCACTTGTAGAACTGTCTTTTGTAGCTATGTGGCTGACGTGATATTAACAGGGAACTCTAAAGTCCACAGTGGCACAGCAATCCTCGGAAAGTCTCAAAAATCATCAAGTTTATCTCTCCTAGATGTTTTAAAAGGTAATTCATTAGTCATAGCATAAGTAAAAAAAATAAAAAAAGTAATTGACTTGAGGTTTTGTGCAGACGTGAGGTTTCAGAGAACTCAGTACAATAACCAACAAATCTATTGCTACAAGAATGCAACAGGCCTTATAAAAAAGGGGTTCTCTGCTGCCCTTAACCCATGTAATATCAAGTTCTCGTGTGTCAATATGCATATCACAAAAAAAGGTCATCCAAAAGAATCTCAAAAACCGTAGCACAAAAAAAAAGTCAAAAACTTAGTTGTTTTCATTAAAATTTTACATATGACACCAACCAACAGCAATCCTCGGAAAGTCTCAAAATCACCGAGCTTATCTTTCTTGTATGCTTTAAAAGACAATCCATTTGTCATAACAGAAGTAGGAATTAATAAAAAAAAAAGTAATTAACTACAATTTTGTGCTTATGTGAGGTTTCAGAGAACTCAATACACTAACCAACGAATCTGTCGTTGCAAGAATGCAGCAGACCTTATAAAAAAGGGGTTCTTCGTTGTCTTTAACCCACACAATACCAAGTTTGTGTGTGTCGCATATGCATATCAACAAAAAAATACCATCTAGAAGAACTCATAAGGTCAAATGTCTCATCATGGATCTCTCAAACCCACCAAAAGGGAAAAAAATGGAAAAAGAAAAAAATATAATTACAAAACGCATAATAAACCCAAACAAACAAAATCAAATACACAAACAACAAAAAATAAATATAAATTATATAAAATAAATAATAATCGTCCAATCAACATCCAACAATACCGTCTGTAATCCGCTCTCTCAATTCAACTATCTCTCTAGCACTTTCACCATCATGAATGCAACCTTCTTGTGATTTTATTTTTTACTGTGATATAGATTGTCCTATGTGACATTCAAATGATTTAAGCATTACATGTAAATGATCATCTTCAGTCATGTTGAAGTCTACATCAGCTCAAGAATGATGTAGTTGAATGTAGTTGTGGAGATCCATTGTAGCCACTATAATATGCATCTGCTTCGGAGATGGACATGTCAACATATCACGGAGTATGACTCATTTTTTCTTTCACACTTCAAATGTTCTTTCAATTACATCGTAGAAGGAGAAGTGTCTCTTGTTATGCATTTCTTGCCTGCCCCGAGCAACACCATTGTATCTTTCAAAATCGAGAATGTGATATTTCATATATTCAGAAATGACTTCAAATACCCTCTTTATAAGGGATATCTAGCTTCGACTAAATAGTATTTATCTATTCCAAATACATTAATTAGTAGTGAACTAAAAAAATATGAATATGTTTCATAGTTGAACAATCCTAAATGTGAGTGAGGGAAGTTGTGCTTTTGATTTCTTATTGTAAAAGTGAATATATGACCATTATGTGCATTGCTTCCCAATCAATCATAACAAAAGTAAGACACATGTTGAAATCACATACGACCATTACATTTTATGTAAGTGATCCACATTGCCCAATGAATGTGACCTTTTCATTATTAGATACACTTGCATCCACGTTGGTTCAATCAATCCCTCATATAGAGTTCTGATAAATTAAATAAAGTTGTTATAACAATGCTACTCATTTTGACTTTTGAATATAATGATTAAAAAAGAGTTAGATTAAAAAATGACATATACCGCGGGTCATTAACAATGTTTGTTGGAGTCATCTTGAATGATGGATCATCTGACTTAATAATCTATGCCGACAAACTAACAAAAGCTTTCAACCCCACTGAGAAATATTTGTTGATTGTCTTCAATGAATGCTGAAATTGCTTCATCGCTCCTCTCATTGATTCATTCTGTGATAAATGAAGAGGGATATTTCCAACACTTCTCTATTTGTCATTCTTTAGGAGTCATGAAGTCCATGATTCCTATTTAGTTCATCAAGCATATCCATAAATATAGGTTGTATTATACAAAAAATATTGTTGAATCTTGTAGGGTGTCATAGTAGTAGCTCCCCAACTTATTTATCACCAATGTAAGTAGATTTCATACAAGGAGTTCAATCAACTTATGAGTTGTAATATTCATACAACATACAAATTGCTGTCAGAAATTTCCTTTGTGCCTCTGTCTCTGTGAATCTATGCTAAACAAATGCTCTGTTCAGGTATTACATGTGAGTCTAACAACATTAAAGATCATAAAAAAATCAAATCACAAAGTGTACAATAAGAAGATATAAATACATAATAACATATAGATTGCTCCTACGAGAAAAAAAAAACATTCAAATCAGAGATTCAATAAAAAAATAGGAAAAAAAATCAAAGCAACACAACAATAATTACATAAAATCAAGTGTCTTTGCTATAAAAAAACGTAAATAATTGACCTTGCGGCCATGGGTCATCTTCATGAAGATTTGTCAATGGGTTAGGTCCTCCAGCAACTTTGAAGAGTTCGGATATAACGACATGTCCTCATAAAGTTCGGGAATTGTCTCCAGAACTCAGATAAAGTCATCTACGGAGGTCTCTTGTAAAGGTTCAGGCTCACTCGTGCATGGAGCCACCAGTTTTGATAATTGACTTCTGATGAAAGCAACTTATTTTTTCTTTTTCTCTACCCTAGGACGCTTTGACCTGCATGTGGACTCAAGTTCATCTTGGTTTGGGCTTGGGCCTTCACTTGACCTAGTTATCTGCACAACATCCAAGTCCTCTGGTATGCCTGCAAACTCATGCTCACTTGGGGTTCATACATTGAGTCCCCATTACTACAACCCCACCGAACATAGGGTCAAATTTTGCTTCAAGATCGGGGTCAATTCCAATGAATTTGAATTTCTTGGTGGTCGGCATTACTTACAATATACGAGGATGTTGATTAGTTCAAATAGTACAGTATGACACATTAATGAAAATAAAGTCTTTCATGGATAAGTTGTTACGTTTAATTTCTAAGTCCACCCTTCCTCTGAAGCATCATTAATCTGTTTGATTAGATCCCAAACCAATCCCTTAGATCCCTGTTTTAACTCCTTCCATAATTTTCAGACTTTTTTCAACTGATCTCACTTATTCTTAAGTTGCAAACTATCGTACTCTCATCCTGTCATTTCCTTGAACTTTTTTCATAATATTTTGTCACCATTTCTTATTAATAATAGGTGGTGGGCATGTTTCCCAGCTCAACCTCCTTAGCAGAGAGGTCGCAAAATATGAGTTTGGATTCCCAATCCCACATGGTCGATAAACTGACTTCTTTAGTATTAACCTTTGCGTAACCAACACAAAAAAAAAAACATTAATATTTGACAACAACCACATTACACACAGTAGCCACCACAACCTATAACCACAACTATAACAATTTAAGACAAAACACCTCCAAACACATGCGATAGCAACCACACCACAACCCACATCACAATCAGAGCCACCACAACCCACAACAGAGCCAGAGCCAAAACCACCTAGAC